GGAATTTTGGGGATTTTTGGGGGGATTTGGGGGGATTTTCTCACCGTTTTCCCCCTTCTTGAAGTAGGCCCAGAGCTTGTCCGCCCGTTTCTGGGGGGTGTTCTCGTCGTCTGGGAGGGTTTTCTGCTCCTCTGGGGGGATCATCTTGAAAATCGCCTGGAAAAGGGGCAAAAGGGACCCCAAAATCCCCTCAGGGGGGTCCCAAACCCCTTGGAGACCCCCAAAAACGGATTTAGGGGATCCCAAAACCCCCCCAGGGACCCCAAAATCCCATCGGGGGGGGGAGGGAGAGGGGGGGGAGGGGGTTGTGTCATTCCCGCCCCTCCCCCACCCCGGGGGTGCCCCCCTCCCCCACCCCCCCTCCTTAATTACCCAATTAGTGCCGGGGCTTTAATTGGCTTTGCCCCTCCCCCCCCCCTCCCGGGGTCACCAAATCCCGGGATTTTAATCCCGGATGGAAAAAACTCCGGGGGGGGGAGGGGAGAGGGAGGAAAGGGGGGGGAGGGGATCGTGGATCCCCCTTTTCCCTGAATTCCCTTTTCCCTGAATTCCCTTTTCCCTGGATTCCCCTTTTCCATGGATTCCCCTTTTCCCTGGATCCTCATTTTCCAGGGATCTCTTTTCCCACCAATCCCAGTTTTCCCTGGATCCCTTTTTTCCAGGAATCCCTTTTCCATGGATCCCCCTTTTCCCTGGATTCCCCTTTTTCCCTGGATCTCTTTTCCCACAATCCCAGTTTTCCATGGATCCTTTCCCAGGGGATCCCCTTTTCCCACTGATCCCTGTTTTCCAAGGATCCCTTTTCCCAGGGATCTGTTTCCTGTGGATCCCCCTTTTCCCTGGATTCCCCTTTTCCCTGAACTCCCCTTTTCCAGGGATCTCTTTTCCCACAATCCCAGTTTTCCATGGATCCTTTTCCCAGGGATCCCCTTTTCCCACTGATCCCTGTTTTCCAGGGATCCCCCTTTTCCATGGATTCCCCTTTTCCCTGGATCCTCATTTTCCAGGGATCTCTTTTCCCACCAATCCCTGTTTTCCATGGATCCCCCTTTTCCCTGGATCCCCATTTTCCCTGGATCTCTTTTCCTGCACATCCCAGTTTTCCCTGGATCCTTTTCCCAGGGATCCCCTTTCCCATGGATCCCCCTTTTCCCTGGATCCCTTTTCCACAGATCCCCATTTTCCCAGGGATCCATTTTCCCTGGATCCCCCTTTTCCCTGAATTCCCATTTTCCATGGATCCCTTTTCCTACAGATCCTTCCTTCTCCCTGGATCCCAAATCCCCTTCCCAGCCCCCCATTCCCATTCCCAAAATCCCCCTTTTTCCTCCCAGAAAACTCACCCTGATGGGATCCCGCCAT